CAATTCCTTTTGTTATATTTGTACATTATATATATTTTTAACGGCAAAATAAATGAAACTACTACTACTACTACTACTACTACTACTACTACTACTACTACTACTACTACTACTACTAATACTAATACTAATACTAATACTATTACTACTAAGTAGTAAAAAAACATTTTTGTCTGACCGTGACCATGTGATCATGATTGTGACCCCGTCAATTAAAAACTTTTTAACCAGTATGAGATTATTTCTTAAATGATCTTGAAGGAGCATTGCACGAGAAAGATTTGATAGTTACATAATCAATTATTAATTATTTGTATTGCATACATTGTTGCATTGCTACTGGTGCACATAAAAATACTTTTGCAATAAAGTATTTAGAGTAGGCAAGCCTAACTCCATAAACATATTTGTAACACTTAAATACTTATTGTAGCCAAAAAAACATTTTAGTACATTTCTTGTAACAAGAAATTTAACAAAATATTTACACTAAAATTAAGCCTTCGAGCAGCGTTATATAAACAAATATATAAACAAAGACGACTTAAATAACTATATTGTTACCTTAACCCAGCACCTCTTAAATAGTGTGATGTAAACGTAAATAGACATTCTTGATTTATATCAGCATTATCAGTTAAATTGTTTTAAACTATGTGACCTGCATAATAAAAAACAAAAAATAACTCATAACCAACAAAGTAAATAGTGAAAAGCTGTTTGATACAACTTTACATTTCTAGTTTAGATTGAACATCATGTATACCGTTTTCTTCGTATTTAATTACATATTAATTATCAAATGACGTTTTATTTTAACGTACGTACTTAGTTTAGTACCAAAATGAAAATAGTTATATTTTTTATATTTGTTATATTTTTAAAGAGTATTTAATGAAAAGTTATTTTTATTCGTATTTAATTTCGCGGTGACAAAAAAAGAAAACTGGCAGCTTTGACTTAATGATGCATCATTGTAATATTTACAACGTTATATAAACTGGCAAAATACATTAAGTGGAATGAAATATTATCTTTTCTCTGGTTATGAAAATACATTTAACGTTAACTTATAAAACTGGGGTATTTTTTTCAGGCTAAAAACTTTTAAGTTAAAAAAAAATCAAAGTTATAAATATTTTCTTAAATAAACACTTAACATTATGGCGTATCTAAATGTCAACAACAAATACAATTTAATAATTTTCTATTTAAATATTATTCAATTATTTTCTGTGATACCAATATTAATATCAGCATTTATATCAATTTCAATATCTGCATTAGTATCAATATGATTTTAAAGCGATTCATAGAATTTAAACCAACATGAACCTGTTTTTTTTTGTGGCTTTTTTTCTACATTTAAGACCACTATTATTTTTATTGTAAATAAAAAATTTATACTTAGTTACAAATATTTTTAATTTTAATTTTGTTTGCAGACGACTCTAATCTATTTTATTCCAACAAAGTTATAAAAGTTTTCTTTAATATATTTAATGAAGATTTTATCGCAGCCGTGGCGCAGTGGTTAGAGTTCTTGCTCGGAACCAAAAAGTTTGAGGTTGAACACCGGCTCTAGCTCAGTAAACAACGGTAACGAAGGAGTTGTGAACATTCTAGTTAAATGCTCTTCCGCGATGTTCTGTGATAAGACCGTGCAGCCGAGCAGCCGTGGCGCAGTGGTTAGAGTTCTAGCTCAGAACTAAGAGGTCCGAGGTTCGACGCCAGCTCTAGCCCAACAAACGACATACGGAAGGTATGGAAGGAGGCGTGAACTTCCTATCAAATGTTCTCCCGTGATGCTCTGCGATAAGACCGTAAGGACTTCTGGGAGCACCTAAAACAACTACAAAAAAAGACCGCATTTTTGAAAAAAATGTACTTTTCTTTAATTATAGTTATTATCATTTTTTTTTTTATACTAGTTAATAAAAATATTTATTAATCCAAGATGCTACAATAAAATCTTTTCAAAATAAAAAGTTTTTAAATCAAACGCAAGTTACGAATTTGAAAAAGTCCTAATAACTAGTCATTATCTTATTTTTTTAATATATTAGGTAGTTCAAAATTAATTTTATATTTTTAAATGGGTACATATATATATATATATATATATATATATATATATATATATATATATATATATATATATATATATATATATATATATATATATATATATATATATATATATATATATACATATATATATATATATATATATATATATATATATATATATATATATATATATATATATATATATATATATACATATATATATATATATATATATATATATATACATATATATATATATATATATATATATATATATATATATATCAATTTTTATTCGATTTAATAAAAAAACCTATTGAAACTTTCAATTAAAAATATATACTCTATAAAGGTCGACAGTATGTCTAAAAATTTTAATAAGAAAATATAAGCATCAATAAGGTTTTTTTAGAAGCATTTACATTTTCTTGAATTTTTAATTCTGCTACGATATAGGGTTATTGGTTTTATTTTGCGAATATTTTTTGCGCGGGATATATATTTCGCGCAAAAACTATATATATATATATATATATATATATATATATATATATATATATATATATATATATATATATATATATATATATATATATATATATATATATATATATATGTATATATATATATATATATATATATATATATATATATATATATATATATATATATATATATATATATATATATATATATATAGCAAGAAAACTAGGTTAAAAAATATTCTTCTTTTTTTTAATAAATTGTAATTTAAAACAATATTTTAAAACTCTGTATAGTTCGCTGTGAAATCCTGTTTTTTTCTTTGGGAAAACTGCTGGAAACTAAACAAAAGCGTAATTAAACTATTGAATATTTATGCATTTTTTATATTTTTCTTTTTCTTTTTTTTTTTTCTAATCAATAAAATATAAAACTAAAAAACTGAAATATTCATGATAATTTTTGTGTGAGGTGATTAGCACATTATCATTTTTTCTTTCACAAGTATATAACAAATACAATCTTAATTTATATTAATTCAGTTTTCTTTTATTAGTTCAATTCTTTTTATTTGTTGTTTTAAAAAATCATAAGTTTAGGTTATTTCCTGTTTTGTTTTTGCATTTACGATGAAAAAGTTTGTTTCGTTAAATAGAGGGGGGGGGGGGGGGCGTTAAACTATATGAGTAATTTAATCTTTAAGCGTAGAATAAGATAATTATGTAGAATAAGATAATTATGTTATTAATTGTGTTAGTATCTTTAATATAACTAAACTATGTAATATAATAAAAATATTTATAAGTGTAATCTGAGATTAATAAATTCTTTCTCGTAAAAATTGTTGGAATCCCTTTGTTCTTGTTTTTTTTTCTGAATTTTTCTCATCAAAAGTGTAAATCGAAAATCACAAAAGAGTAATAAAAAATCTATATCACGCAATTTTGTGCCTTGACAAACGATAACATAAAATTTGTAACAAATTTATTTAACTTTGTTGATAAATTTATTTGATAGTTTTATCAGCCACCAATAATCAAGTTGATAACAGTATTTGTAATATTCCAGTTTTTTTTTTTATAACTAAGTTAATTCAATACAGTATTTGTGATCTACTTTTGTTTTATCTAATTTTTGTTTAACTGTGAAAATTAGTTAAAAAGTTTAAACTGTGAGATTGAACTGTGAGAGTGAATTTTAGCGATTATGTTTTTAGCTTTTATGTATTTATTGTTTATTTACTGTAACTAAACTTTTGTCTTTTTATAATACATATTTTTTTCTTTCTTTGTTGACAGAGGACGTATTTTGAAAATGCGCAGACTCCCACTGATACAAAAATATTGCAACAAACTATTTATAATGTTGAACGTTGTGTTGCAAAACACTGTTTTTGCTATTTTATTTTATTGTGCATGTATGTATGTGTGTATGTATGTATGTATGTATGTATGTATGTATGTATGTATGTATGTATGTATGTATGTATGTATGTATGTATGTATGTATGTATGTATGTATGTATGTATGTATGTATGTATGTATGTATGTATGTATGTATGTATGCACATAGATATACAAATACGCTGTCCTAAAACTTTTATAGATTGATAAAGCTTGTCTTATAAAAGCTCAATTGTTCCATTACTAATAGATGGAAACACAATAATAAGTTAGTCATTGCATCAAAGGCAGCGTCGCCAAATGCTTTTTTAAACGACAAATCAAAAGAATAATATAAAATCGCATTTTTTTAAAAAAGCAAACGAGGCTCTCCATTAATTAATGATGCATAGAAAAAAAGTAAAACCTAAAATAACCACGTTTCCTATTTTGTTCTTTTAACAATATATGAAGCATTTTTTGTTCGAAGTTTAAATCAATTCAATTTCAGTTAATGAAAATTCAGTCCAAAAATATAATAAAATAATAAACGAGTTTACAAAGAAAGAGAGCATCTGGTAAAAAAGATGAATTACATTAGACCTTTTGTAAATCTAAAGCTAACCACTTGAGTCTTTTATTTACAATGCCTACTTTTTATTTTCGTTTATTGAAGCATGAATTCTATTTAAGTTGGTATGTAACGCAACTTTTAATGTCTAATGTACTTAATCTAGTATAAAAAGGGGACTTTGCAAAACGTAATGGGAATAAGAAGCCATTACGCAGGAATTAGTTAAATAAATGCTGTTACAAAAACTACCGACAAACTATTTTCTTTTTATAAAAGAAATAGTGTGCAGAATTCAAACTTTAAATAAACAGATCCTTTCTCTCCGAATCATAGGATCAAAGAATTGTTGTGCATTTTTAGATTTTTTTTAAAAAAAGCAAAAAAAAAAAAAAAAAAAAAAGATACTTGCGGCGACATAATCACAAAATAATCTTAATTAATTAAGAGGGTTATCAAATGTTCTAAATGCGTCAAAGTTGTAAAATAAAAATAAACAAAAAAAAACTATGATGTTTGGTTCAGTTTATATTTACATATCTACTCAAAATATATCATCTAAAATTGTCGAAATATTTTTATAAAACAACGAGGCAAAGAAAATATAGAATACCTCAAATACAATAAAATTATTTCTTGTTTGCATTTTATATAAATAGCTAAATTTATGTATGTATATATAAATATATATATATATATAGTATATACACTGGCTCTTCCTTTAACTTTTTTTAACGGGTGTGCCATTTAATAGGCCTCATGGATAATTATTTGGTTTTCTTTGTAGTAAATAAATAATAGTTAATTATAATTAATTTAGTTAATTTAAAAATCTATTATTAAGATCTTTAGCTTAATTGGATCCCTCGAGTGCGCCACTGTATACACTTACATGTGTTTGTGTGTGTTTGTGTATATATATATATATATATATATATATATATATATATATATATATATATATATATATATATATATATATATATATATATATATATATATATATATATGTGTGTGTGTGTGTGTGTGTGTATGTGTGTGTGTGTGTGTGTAATGAACAGTATAAATTAATGTAAGCGTGTAAAAGGTGCAAGTGTAAAATCTTTTTTGAGAGTTTTGTTTCGATTTGCTGTTAGAGAGAGCAAATGATGTCGACAAACGTCTTCCACAGTTATTATTTTTTGCGTAAACGTTTTTTGAAGCGACAGTTTTTTTTTACCAGATAAAAGGTATCGTTAGTTTATTCCTATTTAAATATATGATGTCTGTAGTTTCATCGAGTTTTCTCGTTTTTAATATCTCCGTTATTACTAAATCGTATTCACCAACTCACGGAATGTAAATCTTGATCAGAAGTTCTTATTTTTGAATCTGAGTTTGTTATTTTTGAAAGTTTTATATCTTTTACGGTATCAGGCTTCCCATGCAATTTCATATGTTTGCGAAGGGAACTTGGATGTGTATACGTTTTATTGCATCCATCGTATTTACAAATATATGGCTTGTCGGAAGTATGCACGTGACTGTGTTTTTTACGGTCGGAAGAGTTTGCAAATCTAAAAAATATATACAGATTTTTTTTACAGACAATTATTTACTTATTTTTAAAATCATACTTAATATTTACAATTCATGTATTAATACGAAAGTACTTAGATTAGTTTTTTTTTTTATTTACCTTCAAAACTTCAAAACATATAGGTTTCTATAATTATATTTTTGCATAACTATTTGTTTTTACAATTCATATCCGCAAATGTTTTATTGTGAAATTTTAAACATTATTTTGAAAAACAATTTTAAGTAATACTAAGCTTAAAAAGTCAAATATAAATACGAGTTTAAATATGCACAAAGAAATTTCATAACAGTTAACTTCATAATTTGATGGTTAACATAAATTCAAAAGAGAAATTTAAATGTTTTGAACTTAAGAACTATTTACATAGATTGTGAATGCTAGCACTTTATCAAAAAATTTTTATCAATAAATGAAAAGCAATTATAAGATTAAACATAAAGAAATTAAAAACTAATTTACCTTCTACCGCAACCTGTAAATTCACACACAAACGGTCTTTCACCGGTGTGCGTTCGCTTATGTATCTTTAAATTTTCCGATCTTGCAAATAGTTTACCACATCCTGGGAATGGACATGGAAAAGGTTTTTCACCTGTGTGTACTCTTAGGTGATTAATAAGTTTATATTTAGCTTTGAAAGCAAGTCCTGCTCGTGGGCAATCTTTCCAATAACATATATGTTCTGTCGAGTCATTTAAGCCCACGTGATCTTCAGCTAAATGCTGCACTATGTCCATCATAACAAAAAACTGTTTTCCGCACGGTTTTCCTTTTGTGGTTTGATCTTGCCACATGCATGATATAACTTGATTAAGAGGTTGCCGAAAACTGTTATGAGGTTGAAGATTTGAGTATCCGTACTGTGGGCTTCCGTAGTATTCGTAAGATGAATTTAGTGGCTGATAGTTGTATGCTGGCTTAACGTCACTTGCATAATCGTGCTTTGGGTATTTTCCAGGATAGTGGCTGTTGTGCGATAATTCGTGATGGGATAGAGGATAAAAAGACGAAGGGGTACTTGGGTTAGAAGAATATCCGTGATTTTGATTCAAATTAGAGTGAAATCGTGAGTTTATTTCAGTATTATGATGCAGTGCACCACTAGCAAACATACAATGTGTTCTCCCAGCATGCGTATTTGTGTCATTCATCATAGTTGGTATTGAATGAGTTGGCTGTGCTGCAGTTAATATTGGTGGTTCCTCGTGTATTGTTTTATATCCATTCATAAAATCAGAATTTCCGACTCCAGAAGAATGTTGGTATTCACTTTGACTAGATGAACGTGAAGCGTACGTACCTACACTTCCTACAGCCTGAGATGGACTCATCATGGCAGAATGTGCATTAAAAATCCCAGGAGGTGAAGCAACGTGATCTGAAACATTGTGATCGGCATACCTAGATGTTGATGGACTCATGTGATCTAAGTAATAGTACCGTGGAACGTTTGGATAATGTCCTAATGTTGAACTTTGTAAACGATGCTCCATTTTAATGAAACAGATATTTAATAAATAAGTTTCTAGATAAATAATTAGGTTTTAATATAGGAACAATTTGTAGATATTTAATGAGGTAACACCACAATACAAACGCTGCATAAAAATATACTTTTATATTTAATAAAACAATGTCACATTCAATTATCAACTAGATAACCCTCTGATACGTCTAGAACGCTGCTTCCAACTGACTGTGACTGAAATACGGTGTCATTCGGATGTAAATTGAGACTTTTAAATGCTTTTGGGCACAAATCAATTTTACCTTTCCATTATGTATGGTACATCTGTCTATGTGTAGGGATTATGTTGCTAATAAGGATTTATAACTAACCTGATTGGCCGCTCATTTATTTTGATTGACAGTTCTTGATACTTATTCAAACTTTTTTAACCAATCACATTTGATCCCATCCAATCACATCATAGCGGGGTATTAAAAATTAAAATGAGATCTTTAAAAAGAAAACAAGCAAAAATGTTCTTTAGAGGATTTATAGTAATAAAACGAAATAGAACTAAATTATTGATTTAATTTGACGAAGAATAAAACTGCACGAACTTTCAATTATACCCATAATTAATCTGCATGGTAGTTTATTTCCTAATTAACGGGAGCAAAATAATACAAAACAAAAAAAGTATGAAGCGAGAATCCTTAAAAGAACCTTTCAGATCCTGCTTTGTAGTATTGGGAAAATTGAGTTTATTTATTTGATTTTATTTCTAACTCAATTGAGTCATTTTGTAATATCACAGTAAGTTTATGTGTGTCGAAGATATACGCTAATATAAGTTCTGCTAAATTATAGAAATATACAACTTCCTCCCAAATAATTTCATTGAGATTTCCTGGATTTTAATCTGGTTGCAAAAAGACGTGGCTAATTATTATTATTATTACTTTTTTTTTTTTTTTTTTTTTTTTTTTTTTTTTTTTTTGCAAAGAGTAATTCTGAAATTCTAAATTAGCTTGCTTAACTGTAAACAAAAAAGCTTTATTAGCGTACGTTTTTTATGAAGGATGAAACGTGTTTACAAGGATTATTTTCTTTTTAACTGCATTTGTTTTCCTTGACTTTGAGGAAGCTTAGTCAGGATTGTAATAAAAACAGAAGGAATTAGACTTCAGAAAAGAGCTATAAACTCAAAGCCACGCCGCTTGTCGAGAAGAAAATTTTATAGCGTAATTAAGGTAAAGAAATAGCTCAGACAAATAAGTGGATAAAAAAAAAAATTGAAAAAAATATTAGAGATATCAAAGCTTGCTTTGATTGTATACTACTACCTTTGTTCCGGTTTTGGTGCTTGTTTAACTAAAAGATTATACAATTAAGGTATACGAGTGAATGCGCGCGGTTTCTTGAAAAAAAAAAAATGATTTCCAATCTGCTGTACTCTTTGAGGTTTTTATCTCAGGTTATTTACTTATTATCTCCGGTTATTTACTTATAATTAATTGTTATGCTAATTAGACAAATTGGGTAATCTTTATTGAAAATTATAAGTCTACGCGAGTAACCTGAAAACGATACTTTAGATAAGAAATTTTATCGTAAAATATCTGTTAAGATTCTTACAAAAATATTTTTTAATTATATTTTTTTTAATTTAATAAAAAATAAAAAGTAAAACAATAAGATGAGCTGTTTTTGTTAAAAGAACGTGCGCAAGCATTTTTAACTCAGATGTTTAGCTACAAAAATAAACCGTTCGCATTAATTTAAACTTTGTTCGGAGTGACGTTTATATAACCGGTTAAAAATGTAAAACACACATGTGTTGTCTCATATGTAGCACCCCTTTCCTTTAATTGACTTATCGTTGCGTCGATAATCTTTGATTGCATAATTTTTTTAGAAGTCACAACATTAGAATACCAAAAGAAACTTTATTTAAAACAGCTATAAAAAGGTAGCAGGACATACGCGTTTTATTTTGTTTTATTTGTCCATTTTTTTCACTCAGTTTGAATTCTCAAACAACTTCTAACACATGTAGCAAAAGTAACATATCGGTCTATAAAATTACAGACAAAAAATAATACAAAGTAAGTTAGGAATTTAGTCAACTGTGTCTTTGTTTTTGACAATAATCATTATTCAGAAATAATTTGATGCAAGTTTATATCGAGGAAGTCTTAGTAATACAGTTATCACACGCCTGAGTAAAACACTTTATTTGAGCGATGATCCTTTTAATCAAAAAACCAATGGTTTTAGATTAATGAGAACAGCATGGGTCACCTCAAAATAAACTCATGGGTACTAACAAAAATTCTTTGAATGTATAGCAATTCGTATGATAAGCTGCCATTAATTTCACGCCAATGCCCGTTATTTAAAATAAACAAATCAATAGCGAGAGGGGGCGATTTATTTACCTTAAATCTTTAGCAACCATCAAGTTTTCATAAACGATTACAATAATAATAATAATAATAACAATAATAAAAGTTATTATTATAATTATAATAACAATCATAACAACAACAACAAAATAATGATAAAAGTATATTATTGAAAAAGTTTTTTTTTTGCTTTCAGTTTAAGATTTTCTGACTTTCTTTTAAAAATCAATAACAATAGAATAAATTAAACTTATAATATATTCATATATTATATCTATATCTATTTACGTATTTGATTATACATATATATGTATACGTATGTGTGAGTATATATATATATATATATATATATATATAATATATATATATATATATATAAACAATAAAGTATTCACTGCAAATGCGTATTAAAGTTGCATTACGTCATGTTATGTAATTACGTTGTTTTTTTGTTTTTTTTAATTTTAGTACTTAGCGACATTTTTTTTGTAGCGCTGCGTAAAGCGCAAAAAGAAAGTTTTTTTTTGAGTAATGAAAAATGTTAGATTTTTGGAAAAAGTTTGTTTTCTTTTTTCGAATATTAAAGAGCATAATTTTAGTAAAATACTTTAAATAAACGTATTTTACTGAACTAGTATCGATTGAGCTAACAACAATGAAATAAACTCAAAATTACTTTAAAGGCCATTTTTATTGTTTTACCTGCTTGTTGTAAAAATAACTAGCATATTTTACGTTTCTTAGACTCAAAACAGTGTTAATGTCATTTTAATAAATTCTAATCCGCATTTTCTAAAAAGAATTTGTAATTGTATTATTTCAAAAACAAAACAAAACTCCGCTAATCTTTCGCACCTTTCATGTGAAATAATAAATTTGGATTTTTTTTTTCTTTATCAAAATCCAAAGCTTTGTTAATCGGAAATTTGCCTTTTTCATGTTTTATTGTACCAATCTCAACGACAAAACAAAAACAACAAATTATTTTCATAAAATTATTAGTAAAAGAGAAATATTGACTTGAAAATCTAAAAAACTTAAAGATATTAAATTACTAGCTTCCTGTCGCGTAAACTTTAAAAAATAACACAATATATAAGGATTTCGTAACGGAAAACATTTGGCTTAACAGAGATAAGGGATATGTATTGTAAAAAATTTAAAAATTATTACAAAACAACTATATATATATATATTTTAATGAACAAAAAAGTTTTTTATTATTACTTAAGTAAATTTTTACCATCTTTTTTATTTATTATTATTATTATTTTATTTACAGATAGTACTTTTTTATTGCAGTTAATCCTCAGTTGATAATTTTTATTGAAAAAACTTTACCAGCAAATAAAACAGAAAGAAGAATATAAATAAACAACTCTTCGACTTTACTCAAAGTCTAGTTTATGTCGGAAGTTTTTTTGGAGAAAATAAAAAAGTCGAAGTCGCTATAAGACACAACCGACATGGATTCCACTCAAAAAAAGGAACCAAAAGGTTGCAAAAGAAGTAGATATAACAGTAAATAAATCAACTAGCGAATATAACAAGTAAACTGAAATGAAATTATTTTGATTTAGCCGCGTAATTTATTAAATATTTTATCCGTGAATTTTGATGACAAATTTATTACATATTTTATCCGTGAATTTTGACGACAAGTTCAGAATGAATAAGGGTTTCCGAAAAGAATTTTTTTAAAAATAATTTGTTTTTATTTATTAACATATTAGTATACAGTTTTTTATTTAACAATTTCAATAAAAGTTAAAAAATATAAAATTGGTAACTTAGAGGCAAATTCTAATTGCATATAAAAATTTAAAAATTAAGTTTAATCATTTTTTATTCATCACTCTTTCGTCTTTTTTTGTATTTGTTCTACACTAACAGTTTTTTTTAGTATTTTATTATTTTCTTTTATTTCATTATAATAATCAATACTCTTGTAATTTCAAACTACTTTCAAAATAGAAAATGGAAGTTTAAATTTATTTTTCTCTTTAGTCCACTCTCCGCCGATAAAAGACAATATCCTCTTCACATTCAACTTTTGACCAGGTATTGCAAAAAAAAAAGTTGGATGATCAATGTTTCATTTTTTTTTTAATCATTACACACAATAATAATGCTAAGACACATTATTTTTCAATACTATTTTCAAGTTAAATAACTAAAAATAACTAAATAACGAAAAAAGCTAAATAATTAAAAATAACTAATAAATAAAAAGCTAAATACTTGACTCAAATTATACGATAAAGAAATGTATAAGTTAAAGGGTTTTTTATAATAAAAAAATAATTTTTAAATTCTAAAAATAGATTTAATTTGTTTATTTTCATAATAATTGATATCCTTTCAACAAAATATTTTTTAATTGGATTTTTTTTTTTACTATAACATCTATAAAAATTTTAGTAGGGGAAAGGCGCCTATGATGGCATACTTAACTTTGAAGCTTCGTTATTAAGTATCCTGAAGACCAAGAACAAAAGTTTTGATATGGATACATTCTTTGTTACATGTAGAACAATAATAACCTTAGGAGTTTTCATCAGTTATATTTATTTATTAGTTATTTTTATTTAAAAAAAAAGCATAAAAATGCTATCATAGGCAACTACTGCTGAATGAACTGAATGGGGTTGGTTAGCATCAAGGGTAACTTGACAATTTCATTTAACCTAAGAGTCTTCCCTCAGAAATGACAGAAATTACGTGTAACCATCATACTTAACTGATTCGTGCTACACAGCAGCATAAGAGATATTGCGTTTTATGCGTTTTTTGAACCACAATTTTTTTAATAAAGTAAAAATTCCTTTTTACTTCAATAATAAGTATGTTGTTTTTATGAAAGAAAAAAAAAAAGTTTTCTCCACTTGTCAATATTGCAACACACCTAACTCGTCAGTATGCCATCATAGGAAGAAGTCATCATTTT